GCCATAGCTCTGTTTGCTGTTCAAAATGGAATGTAGTTGATTATTTTTTAGTTATTTATCTAAAATGCAGGATGAATTTTGTGTAACTAAGCTAATTTGGGACGAAGTTGAACTTCTGTTTCCCAATCTACCTTGGAGTAATGATACCAATTGGAAGTAAAGTACAATTTTTTCAAACATTTGATATATTTTGTTTTTTACAAGATGGCTAGGCTTACACTGATTATTCTTTCGAGCTCAGCGGTTGGTTATCATTGCTTGAGCTGGGTTAGAGCATGTCTCTAATAGGATAAGGTGTCTAGCCCCTTATGGGGTGTAAAAAATGATTGAATTTTGAGACTTCTGAGTTACCAAATGTAAGGTCCAACGATTGAACCACCCTCGAGGGTTTCAAACATTAGATATGTTTCATGATCTTAGGTGGATTTAATGAGTCTGATTCTAAACATACTCTTAGCTTTAAATGACATGACAATTATTAATCAATGTCTTATAAATTGCATCTTACATTTGGTGCTCATGTTGTCATGAAAAATAAAGACTATTACTAAATATTTGCTACTCCTACCATTAAATCTGTTGCCCATCTCATTACCACAATAACCCATTGGATGTAATAACCCCTAAAACTAATCCCAGTGGAAAATACAATTTGTGAAGGATTGGGCAACTAGGTTGAATCCTTTATTCCTGTTTGAATGAAACTCATTATCAATGCAACAATTACAATGCATTTAAGTCTCCAAATCATGTTCCAATTGCATTAGTAGATCAATTTTATTGGTTCTAGCCAGATTGTTTTCCACATTTTCCTGTTTAAGAGTTTTTTTCTATTTTTTACACTCCATATTTTTTATTAAAGTTTTTTTTTCCCTGAGTTGAGAGAAAAAAAAATAAAAAAATCTTAAAGCACCTGACTTTATCACCACCAAATTCCTTAATTTGTAATAGGGCTGGGCTTCGACTTCGAACTACTATAATTTTGCCCCCCAGCTTAATTTTATTGGAGACAAAACGGAGTTTTGGAGTGAGCCAAATTGAATTGAGTAATTTTTTTAGATTTTTTAATGCTTTTTAAAAAAAAAAAAAAACTTTTTGTTGGGATTTGGGCCATTTTTGAATGTAATTTAGACCTTTCTTTTTTGAAATTTAGCTTGTATAATATTGTTCAGTTTTAATATAGGAATTTTATATTTGCATATAATAATATATTATATAATTTATAATTAAAAAAAATTATTTATTAATAAAGGTTGGAGTCAGAATTTTTCAGAAGGACTTCGATTCCAATTGAGGCAGTGCCCAACTAAAGTCAGAGTTGTCAAATTTTTGAACGCCCCCAATTTGACCAGCTGACTAACACCTCACATTGCATGCATGTTGGATAAATAGAGCCCTAATTTTGACTTAGACCCTGTCCTATAGTGCATGTTGGGCCTATAGAGCCCTAATTTTTTACTTTGACCAAGGCCACCTCGTAGTGCACCTATTTTCCAGAATCCCAAACGCGTCGTTGGGGAAAGAAAAAGTCAAATAAAAAAAAAAAAAAAAACAAAAGAACAGATCAACAAACTCTGATCTAAAAATCACTTCAAAGGAAAGAACACAATATGGGACCCAGCAATACCACCGCGAATCCAGTGGCCCCACAGCTCAGTCATCCACGGTGATCAGGAAACATCACGGTCCAATCGAATGGTCGAGAACAAACATCGTTACAAACAACGTAACACACGAGATCTACCAGATTCATCTTAACCCTTCTTCAGTCTTCGGAAGCCAAGTAGCCAACTCCCTCTTCTCTTCCTCTCTTTTTCAGTTCTTTCAGAGTCCAGACAAGGTCTCCCTCTCTATACTTTCTTTCTCTCTCTCTAAGAACACTGCCGGAATATTCAAGAGGCGAGGGGAGAGTGAGGGGTGAGTAGAGAGAGAGAGAGACGGAGAAAAATCGGAGATGATGCAATCAACGAACGGTGGAGATTTGAGTCAACAGCAGGGTCAAAACCAACAGCATCAACAACATCAGGTTCAACAGCAGCAGCAACAGCAACATCAAGAGTGGGTGGCGATGCAGCAGTATCAGCAACAATGGATGGCCATGCAGTATTCACCGGCGGCGGCGGCTGCAATGGCGATGCAGCAGCAGATGATGTATGCTCAACAACACTACTTGCCCTACCATTATCAGCAGCAACAACAACAGCAATTTCAGCATCAACAAGTACATCAAAATCAGCAACAACAACAAAAACAGGCTCAGATTCAGAGTTCCAGTGAGGAGAACAAGACGATCTGGATTGGTGACTTGCAACAATGGATGGACGAAGATTATCTCCAGTCCTGCTTCGCTCACACTGGCGAGGTTCGGCCTTTTCGTTCTCCTCTCTCTCTCTCTCTTACTTTAATGTAGTCATAGACAATTGTTCTTCTTTATGATTCAATTTGGTTTGCAGTTAGCTCTTTTAATTTCTTGTTAGAAGATGCATTTAATGTTTGTGTAATTTCATGTAGTTTCGTTCCTTAAATGGAAAAGTTTAACTGAATTGATTTTATACGGCATGTTTTTGGATTATTTAGGTGGTTTCCAGAATTGGGGATCTGGTTCAAAACATTCCTATTGTATAGGTATCTATATGTAGGTCTTGGTTGATTTTGAAACTGAGGCCCTGGTTTGAATAAAGTTAAGTTTGAATTGAATGATCTGGAGGTGAACTTGACTGGTGTATAATTGGCGCAATTAATTTCTTTTTATGCTGGCCATATAAGTTGGGATGAGAATTTCTTTCTTAAATGTGAAGGTTCTTTAGGTTTTTCGTGAGCAATTATTCGATTTGGAAATAACCTGTAGTTCATACATATGCATGCTTCGTTTCTTCATGAGCAATTGTTTGTTATTTTTGTTCCATTAACTGATGAATTATAGTAATATGCATTTGGAGCTTTAACATTTTTGTCACAAACTGTTCCCTCTGCAAAAGTAAAGTTTTTTACTCATCCTTAGTAATAGAGGAAACACAAGTGAAGAAAATATGTTTTAATGCTAGAAATGTCATTTTGTGATTAGACTAAAAGGGTTTATGTTACCTCAAGATGGAAAGAGGTGTGTTTTTGCCATAGAGCTGAATTAAAAGGCATCCTTGATGGTTTACAATAGTGCCAGGAAAAGACCACTTCAATGCTTGCGTTGTAGCATCATCACAATTTTATGGTATATGTTACATGGAAGGAGTACTTATTTATTACTAAATATTGAGGAAGAGGAGAGCTATTGTATCTTTTAGTGGCCCTTATACTTGGTGTTTTTTCACATCTTCAAAACGACGTGATATGTCCCACAAGAGGTCGGATTTTGAGTGATTGTTGTGGGCCTAATGCTTCAGTTTTGACATATAGCCTTCAAAGAGAGGCAATTTTTATATTCAAAAATGCAATCGAGCTCGACCTGAGCTTGAACAAGTCATAACCAAATCTAGCCGAGCTTGAGCAGCAGTGTATTCAGCTCGGCTTGGCTCATTTTCACCCCTAACCTACATATTTTTGCCATGATTTACAGTAACTTGTATTGTGCACTTCTGATGTAAATGTAGAATATGGTGTTTCTGAATTGCAGCTCTATAATACACGTAAGAAAGTTTATCTAGCTCTTTTGTCTGTTCATTATTTCCGCAAAAACATGTTGCTTTATTACATCCTTGCTTGTTGATAGTGGGTTTCATGAAATATGCAGGTCATTACTATAAAGGTTATTCGCAATAAGCTGACTGGTCAGTCGGAACGATATGGATTTGTTGAGTTCATATCTCATGAAGCAGCTGAGAAAGTCCTACAAAACTACAATGCCACCAGAATGCCCAATTCAGAGCAAGCATTCCGCCTGAACTGGGCAGGCTTTAGCACAGGCGATAAGCGCTTGGATGCTGGTTCTTCTGATCTGTCAGTATTTGTGGGAGACTTAGCTTCAGATGTTACTGACACAATATTACATGAAACTTTTGCCAGTAAATACCCATCTGTTAAAGGTGCAAAAGTCGTCGTCGATTCAAATACTGGTCGTTCTAAAGGTTATGGCTTTGTTAGGTTTGGTGATGAAAATGAGAGGTCAAGGGCCATGACTGAAATGAATGGCATGTATTGTTCTAGCAGGCCCATGCGTGTTGGAGTTGCGACCCCCAAGAAGCAATCCACACAGCAACAGTATCCTTCACAAGGTGTAGCATAATGTTATCTGTTTACGAATGCATGGTACTCTTTAACTCATTAGTCTAGATCAATATAAGATATTGTTTTGTTATTGCTTTTGTCGTCTCCACTAATTGCTGACAATTTCTTGTTGCATGTTCTGCTGTTCCATTTGCTATGTGATGTTTTTGTTTTCTGGAAATTCCAACTGGTTTTTTGCAACCGTCGTTCTGCACATATATGATTTGTTCATTAATTCTGGTGGCACAATGTGTATATGTTTTTATGTAAATATAGGGGCTGTCTTAATTCTTTTTTTTGTTTAGCTTATTGTGTCCCTTCCCCCCCCCCCCCCCCCCTTTTAATGAGTTATGGACCTTAAGGTACTTTTTATGCCTACATGTCTGTGTTCTTATAATCTGCTGTTTAGTTGATTTTTTTTTTTTTTGCTACTGCTGTTGAGTTGATCATTTCTGTATGGTTGACGAAGCTATCATTTGAAGGTACTCGGTTTCGTATTTTATGCTATTCATTTGGAAATTGACCCCACCAGCTAATTCTCATTTTCTTTGATTAGCTCTGATATTGGCTGGTGGATATGCCCCAAGTGGTGCTACGTCAGAAAGCTCTCAGTCCAATGGTGATTCATCTAACACAACAGTGAGCCTGGCTTCCCTTGCTGTCTAGCTATCAATTCAACCATAATTATTTCATTAACAGTTGTTTAATTGTAGATATTTGTGGGAGGGCTTAGCTCTGAGATCACGGATGAAGAACTCAGGCAGTCCTTTGTACCGTATGGGGAGATCATCTCTGTGAAGATACCAACTGGAAAAGGATGTGGTTTTGTACAATTTGTTAACAGGTATGCTTCATGTAGTTTACCATAGTCTATTAAGGTCGTGCTAAAAATTTCTGTCAATGTTATTATGTTTAATGCTTGTACCATGTTATCAAGGTGCTTTGATTTCATCCTAACATATGATAAATTATTTTCTAGTTGATCACGCAAGTTTGGATAAATAAAAAAGACCAGTTATAAAAGGTTAAGAATGGAGTGAATTTTGCAACATAGTTATTTGGATACCTCTTGTAACAAACATTATCTTAAAATAATTGGTTCCATATGAATGAAATGATCTCTCTTTCATTTTCTCGGTACTCAGAAGCAGTGCTGAGGATGCGATACAGAGTTTGAATGGGGCAGTTATTGGGAAGCAGACAGTTCGTCTATCTTGGGGCCGAAATCCAGGCAACAAGCAGGTGACTTTTCTGAACTTAAAGAAACTATGATTAGAGTGTATAGTTATCCATAACCATTTCACCTTTGTCTGCTCAGTTCTATGTGAATTCCTCATTCCTCAACTGGCTCTTAAGTTTTCTGAAAACAAAAGTGTGTGCTGTTCTTGTCAAGTGAATATAATTTGGTTTTTTGTTGCGTATGATTCAATGATTTGTGTGGATGATCTTTAGATTGTTTTGAGCAGTTCCCTTGTAAGTTTAAAGTAGGCTAGATGACATTATATGCATCTTTTACCATCCGATGTTGTTATGTTCCTGCAGTTGAGATTTATCCTTTTTTATTTTTAAAAAAAAACACCCCACACACACAAAAAAATTCCTTTTAGTTCTGGAGCTGATCCCAGATACTTTGGCTTTATGACTCTTTGTGACTGATGTTGATGGTTGTGAATTATTCTTCGCTTTGATTTACTTCCAACTTCACTTTCCAACAATGAAATGCCCTTGTGATCTGCTCTTCTCGTGAGTTTGTTATCCTTGATTTAACTTTTTGAGCATCACTGTGCTGTGGCAGTTCCGAGCAGATTCCAATAATCAATGGAGCGGGGGCTATCAGAGAAGGCAAGCTCAGAATGGCTATGGATATGCCATGCCACAGAATCAGGATACAGGCGTTTATTCTGCAGCTGCAGCCTATGGGCCATCTTCGAACGGATATGGCAATCACCAGCAGCCAGTAAGCTGAAATTGCTGAGCTAAATATTGAATCAAAAGTAGGAAGGTTTATTTGCTCTGGTTAAATGTGTTATGGTGAATTTTGTAAGCTGGATTTGATATTTTGGAGACTCTTAAGATTTCTTTGAACTTAATTTGGAATATCGGAGGAGCCGAGGGGATTTTTATATCTAGTGGTGAGCTTTGTTGACGTTAGATTCTGATTGGGGAGCATGCTGAATTTGTGTGTCTAATCACATTTGCATTGTTTTAAAGTTTTCATTAGTATCTCATCACAAGCTTGAAATAAGCGGAATAACCTCATTACAAAATGAGGTTATTTCGAATCAAATTGAACTATTTTTTCTGTCGTAACTTGACCTTATTAACTAGTAATTCAAGAAAATAATGTTTCTTAAACGTTGTCGGCTTGTTTAGCATCTTGAGTTGGATATCTACTACAGTTCTTCGTATTGCAAGTATCATTTTTTGCTACGATCTTGACATGTTTTAAGAATTTCATAGCTTATCTCGTTTTGTTTAAGCAATAAGCCTTCTGTAGTGTGTAGGGTGCTTCGTTTAGCATTGGTCTAAATGTTAGATGTTCACTCTTTTGTACATGTAGAATATTTCAAGTGATATTTGCTCTTAGATCATCCATGTTCTTTGTTTCTTTGGTTGTAGTATGAACCTAGGATCGTGTTGATAAAAGGCACTCGAGCTGATACCAGGAAGATCAAAACCCTTGGGCAACTGAAATTAATTGTTGAACTCCTTCTATATTACGAATGATGTGCCCAAACTTGACTTTGGGGAACAAAAAGAAATAGAAGAGTTATAAACTCAGATGTTTTTAGTTTAAATTTTACAATTCAATGGGGTCAAGTCATAAGAGATCTAATCCCGATATGCATAGCTTGATTTTAAATAGACCGGGAAGAAGATTAGTCTAGATGTGTGTAAGTTTATCTGCATATTCTAACCGTTGAACCAACAAAAAACAAAAAAATAGGGAAAAGATATACTCAAATCTCAAAACATTAATAGGCTCATGGTTAACTATCATTATGCCTATTAGCTCTTTTTAAACTACCGATTAATCTAAAACTTTAAAGATTGGTAAAGAGGGTTTCTTAAGCATTCACATATTTGAGTACGTCTTTTGACATAGGTCAAATATTGAGTGATTCGTGTTTAAGTATTGGTATTATCAAGACAATGACAAAGTTTAAAATTTCAGCTCAATAAAATTTCTGAAAATATAGTCTTTATTGAAATTTTTTTTTAAATCTAGATCACTTAGATTTATTTCTTACAGAATAAAAATCAACTAACTCCCGATAAACTTTAAATATTTTACAATTACCTGCCATTTGATTGATTTTACATGCAGAAAGCACTATTTATTTATTTTTAATCAACGGAAAATTCTGATTGAATCATAGGAAGCTGCCCATATGAGTCATGAGAGGCGTCAAACACACGCCAGCTCTGTATTCTACCAAAAGTCTCCATTTTTCACCCACCCAACCTTCCCAGCTGGAACACAATCTAGCTGTACATGGCTGACCACACTTCAAATTTCAGAATCCAATCCAATCCAATCCAATTCTTCAGCATCATTATTCCTTAAAACAAAATTCAAACAACAAAGCAGTAAAAGCAAAGATAAAAGCAACAGTAATATTCAAAAAGACAGCAGGAATAGTAGTAGTAAAAGCAAAGACAAACAAACGGTAAAATAGGACTGTCATGTTGGGAGCATTTCATTTTTTTTCGCCATAAGACAATTATGTCCCTCCTCCATGTGAGTATTTTTCTTCTTCTTTTTTTTATTCTTTTTATGCATTGGGCTATTAAACAATTAGGAGTTTGAGCTGATCATACATGATTCATTCAGAAATGCTTAAACTGTAAAATAAATTAAATCAAGCCAAAATTTTAAGTTTGTCTTCAAACTAAGACAAATCCAAATACGTGGCTCGGGTCAAATAGATTTCAATTCTTCATAATATGTACTTTTATTCTTCTCTCTTCTCCAATTGATGATGTATGAACTCGAAATGTGAGATTTATATTTAAATTGAAAAGCTCAAGGCTTATAAATTATAGTATGTGAATGAACAATGTAGAAGAAATCTATCTAAAGTTGAACTTGATGGCTTTATAAGATGCTACAATAAATGTAGAATAGAGGTAATAGCTACAGAACAAGCACGAAGACACATATTATAACGGTTCATTAACTGAAGAGTTTGGTTAATTCATTCTAATGAAATTTCTTACTCATTGAGAAGTTGTCTATAGCTTGGAGAAAGAGATAGAATTATAATTACAGAGATTATAATTGATTGTTTGTTATGAAAGAATGCCTCTTGGATTTATATCCACAGGTCGGGTGGTTTGATTCACATGGTCCTCAATTTTGTTAGAATTTTATTGAAAGAATATTAGGTTGTTAGAGACTATATTCTCTAAGTGTGACGTAACCTTCTAGAACATACTGAGGTGACATTATAGTCTGTCTTCAAGTTTAGATACGTCGTGGCCTTCTATATCTGTGAAAAATCATGTTGCAAGGTTATTCTAATTGGTATGACATCTTATACTATTAGTCAGCTCGTGAATAAAAGAGTTCAATTCAAACACTTAACCTAAGTTAGAAATGATGATTCTCCTCATGATATAACATGAACAATCTGAATACCTTTATCTAAGGTCGTACTTGGTCGACCTTGACACTTTTTCCTGAGATTGGATGCGCATCTGGAGATCGGGAGACATACCTTATTGATTGCTCTTTTTACAAATCATTTTTGAAAATATCCTTCTATTTATTCCTCGTATCATTTTTAGGTATTATCACTAATAATATTTGATAAATTTAAATTAATATGGTTTGATGTTGTAGCTGATTATACAAAAATTTTATATTTTTGTTAATAAAGTTTTTACTTTAGAATTTACAGTTTCTACTTGTTGAATAATTTTAATATTTTTTTTTAAAGATTTGAGTTTAGTTTTTACCTCACTTCGATTCAAATGAGTTTCTACAAAATCATATCAAAATTCAAAGAAACTTGAACTCGGTCTATCATAAACGAATCTAAGCTCGTTTGATTAACACCCTCTTCCTAGTAAATATTAGGTGTAAAAGTTTTATAATTATTATGCAGCGTAACTGTTTAATAATAAATAAATAAGTAAAATAAATCTCTATTATTTTAAATAAGCACCTTCCTATATAGGATAGTAACCATCATATATGCTTATTTATTTGTTTAGGTTTAATGCTGTTATATCTAATTTTTAAGAGGGTAAATTGGCAATTGGCTTGAAGAGTAGTTGAAGTCAGCAGATGTTAAAAGGCAGCTCCTTGTCGTCAACTTTCTATCTCTCCTCCTCCTCCTCTCTCTCTCTCTCTCTCTCTCCCTACAAGCACACATACACACGCACCCAATTCTAAAATTGAAGAAAACACATACATCTCCATATCCAATTCTCAAATTGTATGTAGAAAACTGTTACACACTGTCACAACAACAAGCACCAAAAATGAAGATGGAGGTGATGACACCCTCACCGGCCGTGGACTTCAACTTCGATAGTACATGCACATCTCCATACATAAGCGCTCCATCAAGCCCTCAAAGCCTCGGCAACTTTTTCTTCAGTGCCCCAACCAGCCCCACCGGCGCCACCGCCTTCTACAGTGAATTCAAAAACTTCTGTGGCGGCACCACCACCAGCAGTAATACTCTGTCTGCAATCCCATTCAATTGGGAAGAAAAACCCGGAATTCCCAAAACTGAAGGGACCGACAATATCAACGATGAAAAGGATTCAGATTTTGCATTTGATTTCAGTGGACAGCCGGAGAGAACCTCTCTTTCCGCCGATGAACTCTTCGATGGCGGCAAGATCAAGCCTCTGAAACCACCACCAAGGTTGCAATATTCTGATAGTAGAGTTCTTGATTCTCCGAAGACACCTCGATCACCCAAGAAAATGTTCAGAGAAGCTTTTTCCCCGCGACAAAAAAAGAAAGTGTTTGATCCCTTCACAGCGGCTATAGAACAAACACGTAGAGAACAATGTCAAGAGCACTCACAAGATCAACGCGGAAGAGAAAGAACTCACAATTCATTGAACTCTCCATTAAGTATCTGTGACGAATTTTTAGTACGCGAAAACAATCAAAAGAGCACAAAAAACACCGCTTCTTCTTCTTCATCATTTTCGTCTTGCTCTGCAACTTGGTACAAAAAATGGAAGCTGAAGGACTTTTTGTTATTCCGGAGTGCTTCAGAGGGTCGACCCACCAACAAAGACACATTGAAGAAATTCGCAATGTTGAAGAAGAATCACCATGAAGATGTGAAGAACTCGAGCTTTAGATCGACAGATAGTGTTGATTCAGGGTCGAGCTCAAGGAGGAGAGCACCGCCAGTGTCGGCTCACGAGTTGCATTACAAGGTGAACCGGACGGTGTCGGAGGAGATGAGGAAGAAGACTTTCTTGCCTTACAAGCAAGGCTTGTTGGGTTGCTTGAGGTTCAATCATGGTGTTTGTGAGATTTCCAAGGGGTTTGGTTCTGTGACTCGTGGATGATAATCCAGATTTCTCAATCTGTATGTCTCTTTGTCATCTTGTTCATCATCTGTATATAATAATGATCGTTGATTGTTGTTCATTTTATGTTTTTACAGCCAGTTTTGTGAAATTTCATCATCATTTCAAAAGAATTTGAATTACATTTCTGAGAATTTGATTGGAAGTCCTGTCTTGGTCTGATTATGAACACATTTTGCAACTCATTCGTTGTCATTAATATAAGTTTATGATTAGTTTTTTTTTCTAAGTAGTGGTAATAATGATTTCAAGTAAGATTGATTCGTTCTCCATGGTGCCTTTTCCTTTTATTTTTCGAATTCAACTTTCTCTTACCGATTAAATCACTTGTTTTGTCTTAAGTTCAATTCCTTTCGAGTTAGTCATTTTTAAGGACATTTTTTTATCTCTGTTGCATTGGTCGGTGACTGGTCGCTGAATTCAAAAGAATAATCGACGTAAACTTGAACACCATTTAACAAAAAAAAAAAATCAAATGTTATAGAATATAAATGTATAACTAGGTTATCATTCCGAGCACTTATTGAAGTAATGCATCATATCGTATCTTGTATATCTTGTTTTCAATCGCATTAAAAATTCTCACCCATTTATGATCTTATTATTTATATCATTTTAAGTTAGTATCATGTACAAATGATATTAATGCTAGGTCAGGGGCTCTACACTTAGCGTAATAGTGTGACTGTTTGGTAAGATAAGATTTCAGTTGTTTGGACAAACTGTATCTAAGTCTGGTGTGAATCTTGAGATTCTGGCAAAACGTAAGTTCTGATTTAAATGATGTATGAATTGAGAGACCGATTCATACGCTCGTTGGGTGAATCGTGTTAAGAATTTTTAATCCAAAAATGTTTTTGTACATGCAATGGTCTGAATTTTGAAATTGAGATGGAGTTAAATCATGGATTATTCTATTTATATTAGTCTCACCTAGTGGACTGGGTTCCATGAAGACCATGGATATCCACCAAGGGATTGAATTGATTTGAAGAGTGATGAGTGGAGAGGTAAATTAGCAAACCTGACCCAAGTTTCTGACTTCATTAATGCACTTGCTAATTGAAAACCATGATTTGGGGATTGACTTCAAATTGGAAATCATGACTTCACGTTGGATCAATATTGTTATTCAAAACTAATTTATTGATCGAATCTAG